TGGGAGGGCATAAGGTAGCAAAACAGGGATATAGAGACTAGTGTGGGGAGGCGGCTGATTTCCCTGGTGAGCTTATATCTTAGCTGTCGTCACCTGTCTCTTCTCAGGGATAGAGGCGCCTTAATCAGGAACATGAAAGTATCTCCTGTGGTGCTGCCTCCTGTCACTGTCTCTCGCCTGTCTATTACTTGATTTACCATCGCCAGAGTATTAGCTAATTTTTTGTGTCCAGTATGAGCACTCTGCTTTTAAAAATGCAGGGGAATTCATAGAAAACCTGGCCAGCCACGTTATTTTGGGCTCAGAGGACTTAAGTGCCAATGAATGATTTCTAAATGACATAGACCCAAATCTGAGCTCTATTTACCAGCTTAAAAAACATATTCGATATGTTTTAAACAGCTTGATACTTCATGACTTTAACTAATTTAATAAGAATTGCTTATAAACACAGTTTTGAAAGTGATGACATGTTTCTGAAGTCTCGTATTTAAAAAAAAAAAAAAAAAAAAAGACACATTACTTCTCTTTGGAATCTGAGAAATCCTATCTTTAAAATATGGATAAATGCAATGGTTTTTCAGATGTGTTATATCTGTAATTGGTGTTGACAGTAGTTTTTGCAGAGCACTATCCCTCCCAAATCCCAAATAAATCTAGTTCTGTTTTTTGGAGTTTTTAAAAGTTTTCTCATCACCTCAGTGGTTAAACTGACCCAGAACATGAGTGACATCCTTATATTCTCTGTTCATGTATGGCTTTCTGGCCAACAAAAGAAATATATGTCTGCTCATGCGTATTCCATATAGCATAACATTTTCAAGTTTTCCTTAATTTGTGTAATAACAATACTATGTACACACTCATCAGCGTGGGAACCCAAACGATTAAGAAATTATCCAATCACAAAGAAACACAAGGGTTAAACTGTCTGTTGCCACTTTTCATTCATTGTCATCATATAGACAGCTGTTAGAATAGATCATCTTTTTGTATGCTTTGTGTGCGTGCATTTGTTTGTCAATGTTCAAGTCACACTGTTCACCTACTTTTGTTGCACAGGATTACCTTATCTCAATAAGCAGCAGGAGCTTTGTCTCCTGTAACTCAACATGTGTGCTTAGTTCTCATTGTGTAGCAGTGTAATCTGTGCAGATAAAGCTTTCTCCTTAATACAGACTCTTTTAAAGTTCTCAGAGAGACTGAACACAGCTTTATTTGAATATTCAAAAATGCCTATTTAAATTTGAAATGTAAGGAGTCCATTATACAGGAAGAGCGATAACCTTTCCAACACTGCAGTGCATGCAGCGTAACCTGAATATAACTGACTCTTATTATTTAACCACTGCAAGATTCAGCAGAGCAGGCTGTGTTGCACTCTCTCCTGAGAAGTCTCGACACTAAGGCACGGCATATGTGGACCTGGTTGGCAACCAGATTCTGAAAAACATTCGGATGTTTGCTCAACCATCAGTGTTCTGGCACCAACAGGTGCACCCAGGTGTAGCACATAATCAAGTTGCTGACAGATTATTTTGGACACCCTTAAATAACTCCTGAGGTGAAGTGTAGGAATTTAACATCAGATGTGACACATATGCAAAACCATATGCCCGTGTCTTGCACAGAGAGCTCATTAACTGCCTCCCCTTAATAGATTCACAATGTCTCCATTTTCCTTTTTCTGCCCAGCGTGTGCAGTCGTTTCAGGCTGGACCAGAGACCTGCACATCTGAATGAAGCCCATTCAAGCATGAGAGTCAGTTTCATTAGATTAACATTAGAAAGGCAACACAAGGCAGTGTGGCGTAGCTCCATCAGAATGCTGTGTTCGCACCAGCAATCTGCATTACTGTTTCAGGTGGATCGGGCTGATGTACACCCGGCTGCCAAAAGCTGGATGTTAGCAGGTACCAATTTACGGTCCAACAAACTGCCCATTTGCCACTCTTAGTTGGAGAGATGGAGCGTACAGTGCGGCTGCTTTTCAGCTGCATGACAATCAAATCTAACTGAATCAGACACTTAAGAAAATAATTATTCATGAATACATCAAAAAATGGGCAAATACCTGAAGTTGTGCAAAACACCAGGTGATTTTGACGCAGGAAAATGACTTACTGAGCTTTTAAGCCTTTTAATTCACTTTATAATACTAGAGGAACCGATTCTGGGTGTGGCAAATCACAGACAATGAGAAGCATCACTGCAGGAAATAGTTTTAATTGCACTTCAGTTGACTAGTGACAGAGCTTATCCCTGTGTTTGGTGATGAATTCCTGGGAAAACTGTCAGCAGCTGAAATGTAGTGAGGTTTGTTTTGTCCCGTGCTGTCAGCATTAAATGTCGCTGAGCCTTATTTAAATGCAGGGTTGGTATATCTATGTGGGTGAAGTGCTGTGGTGATGCTATGGGTTTCTCAGATAGTTTTTATTAGGTGGGTTTCACTTCTTTGATGCTCACTTAAGCAGTCCCTGCTTCAGGGATAAAGCTGATAATAGTCATAATAGTCATCAACACGAATATAACTCGCACCATTTTTAAAACCCATTTGTTCTCGCCTGTGTATATTTAGCTTCCTGTCTTTGTACCTGTAAAAACACCCATCAATCTAGCTCTTTTCATACGGATGTCATAGTGAATTATAGACTTCAGTCTACCCAGCAACAGCCAAGGTTTTTTTGTTTAATTTTTTTTTTCTTTTTTGGGTGATTCATTGAGTTACAGTTTGTTATGACCCACGCAGGAATCTGGTCTTTTCCAACAGAATAAGATTTTATTTGTGGGGTATTGTACCATATATAATACTATATAGTATCATGTAATCATTACTGTATATAAGGTATGAGGTGGGCCACTGCAAATATTTTAATTGTCAGGTACTTTGTCACACATAAGTAACTGAACAGTGCATAAGGCTCTATGTGTGTGTTTTCTCCCACTTGTTGCTTCTGCCCTCTCCCACAGCAGCATGTTGGCTTCTGTCCTCCTCCTCCTCTCCTACATCTCTCTCTTCATTAGCTACAGCAATCCCTTTCCTGACCCTCTCTCGCTGCTTCAGCTGCAGCAGCACTGGTTGTAGCCTGGAAATATACAAAACAAATTAATTGGATAGTTAATCACAGCGGTCTAACTGCTCAGCTTTCCCACGAGTGTGCTCTTAAGTCTCTAGATACTTTCGCTAATACCTCTGGTACAGACTGGTCAGAGTTGAAGAATTAACATTAACGTTAGCCACTTGCACAGGCAGTCGATACTTACTAGCCTAGCTAGCCGTGTTAACGTGCATACACTACCATGATGCACAAATAGAGATCATTAAAAGTCAGCAATGTATAAAAAAAAAAAAAAGAATCACTTAGTATCTATGACAGCCACATTTCAGTAACATTCGTGGTGTTATTTTCCTAAAATGTGTTTGTCACATAGATAAGCAAACAAACAAGATAACAACAAGAGTGTTGATTTGGAGGCTTTAGAGCTGCTAGCAGGCAAATTTGGACAGAGCCCGAGTCAGTTTTGAAGCTGGGCAGCAGCTTCATATTTCAATCTTTTTGTATATTTCTCTGCAAGAGAAATAATTATATTTTCCAGAATGCCAGAGTGAGAACAGTGGCCACAGGGCAGAGAAGTCATATAAGTAATAGCAACAGCAGAAAACAACTTGGAGCATAAGGCAGCCCCGCCCTGTTTCTAATCACTTTGTCTGTTGTTTGTCGTCTGCTTGCCGGAGTGTCTTTACAGATGGTGGTTAGTTCAGTGTCAGACTCGATGTTGTTTCAGAGTTGACAGCTCAAAACGATGACTGAAAAGTGTGAAGTGAGTGTCAGGAGGACGGCAGCAGCAGCAGACTGTTGACTTGAGGCAAACTGTTTGATATGTTTATATCTTTAGAAAAGTGATACATCAGACCGGTACATAACTATTTTATGAACTTGTTTAATTGTCTCGATGTTGAAAACGACACTCGACGACGGGGGGTTTAACATGTGGGAAACAAAACAGACGTTTGCGCGCCTTCTGAACTTGCCTGCTTACATTCCACTGTGCAAATATGCCTTCAGGGTCCCAGTTGTTACTCTGTCCTGATGTAGACAATGGTAACCATAGTAAAAGTATTTACTTTCATTCAAACAGGATTCAAATGAGTATCACGCACAAAGCAAATGAATTGACTGCGCCATCTTTCCACCACTCCAAGGAAATCTTTAAAAGTCTGATGAGGGAAAGAGAGAGTACAACTTTTGTTTCAGTGCAGAAATGACATTATAGTTTGCAGCTGGTTCTTTGTGCATGAATATAATCAGACAATTTCAGGGTTGAATGCACACAGAATATTCGAGCATCTTAATTGTTTGGCACTTTTCCTGTAAATACACAAATGTTATTTGTCAGTGATTCAGCTGATAGAAATTACTCCGTCCACTTCTTTGTTCTCATTCACTTTACTGAGCTGCTGACTAGCTCTTTTGGATTTTAGCTGTCAGATGTTCGTTTCCACACAACCACTTGTGCGTTTACCTCAGCCTGAACTCTGAGAGGTCTGAAATGTGAACGTGAATACAAAAAACTGAGCAACACCTCATTTTCAGTCGGGCCGTGGCAGTCTCTTCTTCCCTGCAGCCCTCTAACCCCTCGTAGCAGCCCATTGAGAGGCTTCTGCTTGCACCCTCCTCCCATCCCCCTCTCAAGCACTTTGTCTCCATGGCGATATTTTCAATGAAATTTAGGGCAGGAAAGGTTGTTTTCTTTCCAAAGGAGCTGTAAAATTAGCAGAACTCTATAGAAACGGCTGTTCTTGGTGTTTTTAAGCAAACAATAAGTGGTATTGATGAATGTCGGTCAATTAAATACAGGAAGGGAGGACTCTTGAAGCATTCGCAGTAATAACGGATTTCGATTTTCAGTCAAAAACTTTCATGCTGTGTTGGAGCTGACCAGATTAGCCCCTCTGAAAAAGTAACTGACGAATGTGGCTTTGCTTTTCTCTTTCGCAGTCAGCGGTTTGGACACTGTTATCGGCATGTACGGGGAAACACTCGAGATCCCATGCAACACTAAAGCAGACGACGCCATCATCACTAAATGGAAATATGTAAGTCACGGCAGAGGTCAATGGATTCAAAATGGTGAAGGCCGTCTGACACCCACTTATCATGTCTGAGCCACACCCAGTCTGAGTGCATATGCTGTGCATTAGACCATGCATCTGTCCCTCCATATGACAGTGCATGAGCTGAGGGTGGGGAACAAAACACTGTGCTTTTATTTGAATTGGAGGCCAATGCCATATGTGACAGGCATGTAACAAGTGCACTCTCCTCTGCTTTCCAGGACAAAGGAGAAGGTCTTCCAGGAGACCTGCTGGTCAAGCAGACAAACCAGAATGCCGTAATCACAGCCACTGATGAGTACAAGGACCGTGTGAGCATGGCCGAGAACTCCAGCCTGCTGCTTTCTGCAGCCAGGCTGACTGACCAGCGGACTTTCACCTGCATGGTGGTGGCTAGTGCAGACATCACAGAATACCCAGTTAATGTGGTGATCTACAGTGAGTACAAGCTGTCACAGGTCTAAAATAACTTTCCTTTTTCCTTCAGGTAAGGTGCTGCTGTAACTGACAAAAGCAACACGCAGCACACGAATCACTTACAATAACATCCTGCTCTTTAACACGTTTTTCCTTTTTTCTTCAAATGTGTTTCAGAGACGCCAGAAGGCCTGGAGATTTCTGACAAAGCGGAGGAACTAGAGATTGGCAAACTTACTAAGGTGGGGTTTTTAATGATAAACATTGCTTATACCTACATTATTTTAAGCAGTAAATTATCATGGGAAATCCCTTGCTTGAGCGAAGGTATCTTGAGGCATAGCAGAGACCATGTTACTACAGTAATGAGTTCTTTGAAGTGATTCTCATGAATTAGTAAAGAGCAGAATCCCCCTCCTGCAATTAAAATACCCAAAGGATCTGAGGGGCTTTAGAAATGCTTTGGGCATTTCAGGGTCTATTGCGCAGAAAACTCCTCAGTCCTCAAATGGTGGCGAGGCACTAAAAAGCTAATTTGCTCAGATGTTTAGTCATTTATAAAGATTCATGAAATGATGATTATTTTTTTCAATATTGTCTCCGAGTGCAGGTTTTCTTTCCTCAAGTTGTGATCTTTTTTTTGTTTTGTTCCACAGCTTGGAACATGTGTTGCACAGGATGCCAATCCAGCTGCAAACATCACGTGGTTAAAGAACAATAAACCTCTGGTGGCTGATGGGAAAGGTGTGTGTTCCTCATCTTGTTGCATGTCCTTAAATGCTACTAAAACAGCTCTTTGGAGTGGTTTGGGCAAGTTTGACATTTATAAACAGCACATAGACAGATGTTTTTATTCTCTCTGACTGGGAAAGTCGCTCTAAATTATTCTTCAGTGATGAATTGCGCTGTGCCTCATCGACAGTGTGAGTACAGCGTTTTGGTCATTACGCCATTGTTTTCTTGTTAGGGTTTTCAGACAGAGTTGTTTGTTTTCTGTCTAGGGATTTCCATCCAAGCCTCTGTGCTGGTAGACCCTGTTACTGGCCTCTCAACCACTTCCTCCATACTGGAGTACTCGGCCGAGAAAGAAGACACGAACGCTCAGTTCACCTGCAGCACTCAGCACACTGGGGGCGCAGAGCTGGTGTCCTCTCCAGTGACCTTCACCATCACCTGTGAGTCACAAAACTCTGCCAACAACATACACTGAACATACTTTCTGTTTGCAGATGAGCAATTTTGGCACAAATTAAGAGACTAAAATGTTGGTTGGTGATGACTTTTTTTTTTCAGTTTTATCATCACTTATTTGATTTATTTGCTTCTCTTCTAACTTTTGCAAGGAAAGTGAAAAAACCTATTTACCAAAAATGTCGAACTGTTCCTTGGCATATGTATCTCTCAATTGTCCATCACCTTAGGTTTTTTGGCACAGATCCAAATGCAGCTGCAGACTAGAAATCCTTAGGAAAAAATAGACAGTTGAAGGAAGTAGATTCTCTTTGAGTACGCTCCAGTTTTGTTGAAAATATGAGAAGTTAAAGAAACAACACTGCAGCAGAGAGGTTTTCTACTTTTAGAAAATCACTCTGACCATATAAGAATATTTTATTGGTATCTGTGCCTTTTTTCTGTTCCATATTGTATAGAGTCAAATCTCAACGTGTTTTTTGATTATAAAGCAGATCATGCTGCTATATTAATCAGAAGAGAGGCTCTTCTGATTGGTTCTCCGACCTGTTGTTAGTAGAGCTCCAGACACTACACTGAGATGGTTTTTGGTTCTTAAAACTACAAATATATCTTGTTATTGATATTAACACACAAAACACCAGGAAATTGTAAAATATGGGACAGTTAACACTTTATAAACACTTCTTTTTGTGCTTTTTGTTGTCAAAAAAGCCCCACTGTTAAACAGCAGGGCTTATTTCAAGTCTGAGCTTCAGTCATTAAAGTGTTTTATCGACTGTAATGAGGCTTTGTGATATATTTGGCAAGTGCAGCTGCCAAATGTTATTTAATATGACTTAAAAATACAGTCAAAGTAACACTAGTCTGACAATTTGATTAGAGTCACATATTTTCAACATCACATGCAGTTATTTGCCAGGCTTTTCAGGATTCTTTTCAGCAGCGGCTCCTGACCCACAAGCTCTCAAAGAAGACCACAAAAAACGGACTAAGACTGCCGCCTGTGTAATTTTTCTGTCTACACTAATACTTTTCCCTGTAATTCTTTTAGTTCTAGCCGAGACAGAAATCTGAAATGGCACCTTTTATTTTATATAAAATGAGATGTGGATTGTGTAACTCTGTAGTGGGATTTATACCAAACGCAACATTAAATATTGAAGTTACCTGGAAAACATGGCCTTGAAAGTAGAACTTATCAATGCTGGAACATTTTCCTACACGAAATGTGAAGAGTTTGACTCAGATGGAGCAGAAACATTGAGCTTTGAAAGGACTGTTTGGTTGAGAGAATATGACTTCAATTCAACCATCTCCTCAGCTGGATTTTGACGTTGGTCATGACCAGCACTGATGCACAAAGTCAGAGCTCTCTGTAGTGCACTGCCACAGTTGGTATCTGCAGTCCTCGCAGTCAGCCGTACGCTGCACTTGTTACTCCGGCCACACTCACATACATACATCCCCTCTCTGAGTTTTTTTTTCTCCTATTTTCTGCCCAGACTCCACAGAAAACATTGTCCTTCAGGTCGTTGCTCAGGACCCCCTCGTAGAAGGAGACAATGTGACTCTGAAGTGCGTTGCAGATGGTAACCCAGCTCCTACCAGCTTTAACTTCCACCTTAAGGTACACATCCTCATCAATATCTCACCAAAAACAGAAATTCCTTCTATTCCTGCTACTATTGCATCTATAGATTTATGATGCCACCTCTTCTTTCCTCTTATAAGGCATCATAGACTAATTACTGTTTGTCTGATTGTGTGTCTTTGAAGGAAGAAATGGTGAAAGTGGAAAATGCAGACACTTACACCATCGTGAATGTTTCACGTGACGCCAGTGGTGAATACAAATGCTCCCTCATTGACAACCCCATGTTGGAAGCATCTGAGGACATCACAGTAAACTGTAAGAAACCAAGATATTGATACACTGTGTGACTGAATATTTGAAATTACTGAAGTTATGCCACCCACCAGCATTAATGTCTGTGTAATTTCTTTTCTACCTACACCTATTACAATGAAAGTGGGAAGTGTGTATTAGAGAAAAGAAAGTCGTAATGCATCTCTTTGCCAGCCTACTTGTCTTCCTGTGCTTTGTGGGGAAAAGTGTTGTGTCAATCGCTCTGCCTCTAATAAGCTGAATCTGCAGGGCTGTGAGCCAAGTGCAGGGCTATATGGTTAACAGCAGGAATGTTTCAACCCTCATCAGGCCTCTGAACCATGTTTTCACCACTCTCCTCTCTCTTTTTAGACTTAGACATCAATTTAAGCCCCTCTGGGAACATCGTGAAGAGAGCTGGTGAGGCCTTAAATCTAACTCTCCGGATTGATGCTTCCGGAGAACCAAAGGTCTCCTGGACAAAGGTAAAAAGCAATTGTTTAAACAGCAAAGTAAGTGAATGAACGAAGAAAAGTTTGTGCTTTTTATTGACAGTGCTGATATTTTATCATTCAATTCAGGACAATGTAAAAATGGATAAAGAGCCTAAGTTTAAAACGCTGAGTTACTCGGACTCCGGTCGGTACGAGTGCGAGGTGGCAATGGGGCTCCTCAGCCGAAAAGCTTCTGTTGAGCTGCTTGTTGAAGGTAAGGGTTTAAATGAAACTCGGAGATTTGGGGAAATAAGCTTATTTGCTTTGTTGCTAAAAGCGAGATGAGAATATTGATACCATTCACATACCTGTACAGCAAAGATGAAGCTACAGCCAGCGGTGTCTATCTTTTCATCAGACTCTCGGCAAGAAAGCAAATAACCATGACCAATCATTTTCTCATTCAGATGTATCTGAAGAATTACATCCTCTTGCAGGTGCTCCAGTCATCAGACAGCTGTCCAAACACCGTGGTGAAGATGGCCAACATAAAGTCTTGATTTGTGAGGCTGAAGGTTCCCCAAAGCCAGCTGTTACCTGGAGCATCAATGGCACCTCGGTATGCACACTCACACTCTTGCACTGATAATTGTTACAATGTCAGAAGGTCATAACCATCAATTTCATTTAACTCCACACATATTTATCTCACCTTCACAAAATTCAGTGAGATTCCCAGCACAGTTACATGCAGGATTTTGTCAATAGACACAGTTAACAAAATCAAATGTGCTGTAAGGCTGAATGCAAAACTGCAGTATACTTGCTTGTGTCCGAGTTTATTCATGGTGTTCATGCTAGGGCTTTCACAATATCAGACCACATCGATCACCACACGATTATCGTGGCCAAAATAATCCACGAAAACAATATTGTCTGTATGATGATATAGAACGATATCTATAGAAAATTTTAAGATAATAATAATAATGATGATAATGGTAATTCTGATAATAATAATGTTATCAAATTCGTCTTTAGCTTTGTTTATTGTGTGTTTTGCCTCTTTTTTGGCGAATGAAATGGAGGGTAAGGAGTCTCCAGAGTCTGTAACCATAACTGTACAAAAGCGCACACGACGAACAGTTACACTTCACATATTCACAGTGTAGTGAAAGGGCAACCAGATGAACGTATAAACAAAAAAACAACAAGGCCGAACATTTGCCATCATGATAATATCTTATGTGTATTATCAACATAATATCAGTATATCGTAACATCCCTAGTCCACACCAGGGGGATGAGCGTTGGAGGTGTGCTGATGATACTAAAAAACTCTGTAAACTGAATAAAAACAAACATACTGTGGGAACATGGTTTTTGGTTGACAAACAACCCTTTTACCTTTGCCAAGTTTGTCCACTGCCACTGTGTATAGCCCATACCATAATTCCCCACTTTTTCAATGACGTATTGTTTACAAGCACAGTTTAAAATTGTAATCCTTAAGATTTCGGTCCTGGTTCATTTGGCAATCTCCCCGGTTACCATAGTAACAGTAATTGTGGTTTAATACTACAGTAAACAGTCGTTGAGCGGGTGCTTTATCAAACATACAACAGAAGAGCAACTGGTGCATCTGTTTACAGCTCAACCAAGCAAACTCAAGTAATATTACTGACAGCAAAGCTGAGTTATGTGCAGCATTGGTTTTTTGTGAATCCCTTGTGCATAGGTAGGCCGTTTGAATAGCCACTAACGATGAAGAATACTTAATTAATTAATGTAAATACAACGGGCTGTTGCGGAAAAAAATCTCGACCATACATCATATCAAAATCAGGGTTCGATTTAATCAAAATGTCAAGGATTATAACTTTAAAGCTGAAATCTGTATCTCTTGACTTGCTGACACCCACTGAAGCCTGTCCTTTGTTTGAACCAGCTATTGCAAAACCTGGAAAATGTGAAGTTTGACACCGCTGAATAACTGAACCTCAAAATTTACCATTACTGTCATCTAAGACAATTTACAAGACAACAAGCCATAACAAGTTGATTTTTTTAATTTCATATTGTAGAGAAAGAGTTTCCCCCTATAAGCTTGATAAAACAAACAAGATGGATATCAGCTTTAACAAGTGTCTGCACATCCTGGTTAAGTTTTCAAATTATCCCATCATTTAAGATGCTTTGAATGTTCCCTTCCTTTTTCATTTTAATCCATCATTCTTTTTATGATAACTCAGTACTGGTTGTCATTGAAATGAAATAAAATTTTATTTGTATGACCCTCAATCATAGCAAAGGTTTATATAGAACAGGTCTAGACTCTTTATAATATTGCTTGCAGCAGAGACCCGACAGTCCCCCATGAGCAAGCACTTGGAAAAAGTGGCAAAGAAAAATTCCTTTTTAAGGGGCAGAAACAGAACAGAACAGAACCCGGCTCATGGTGGGCGGCTGTCTGCCTCAACCGGTTGGGTTGGGGGGCGGGGGTTCAAATTCAAATGTAAAGTATCAACAGGTTTGTCTTGTTCAACAACTGCTGTGACATCTCATCTTTGGACAGCATCTAAAGTAGCTCAGACATATTGAAAATTATTTCTATCAGCAGCTGGTGAATGGTTTTGATACACTTTGATCCACTTTGTGGATATAGTATATTTTGAGCTATTTAGGTGTCATCAAACAATTTCTTAAAATACACTTGTTCCCGCACTGAATGCGCAGACACTATAAACAGTTCCAGAAGCAGCGAAGACAAACCACTAACATGATCATGTGGTCGTTTTAATGTAATGGTATTGTTTCCCTCAGAACAAACCTATGAATAACATGAGCACCGATGTGAAGTGATGTGACTAAACACAGACTGTCTGTTTAAGGCCTCCTCCCTTTGGATTCTGTGGGCGAGCAAAAATAATTCAAGGTTTGCCAGTGTCTTGGTCCTGAGATAGTTCATGCTTTGCTTTTGTCGCTCTCTCTGTACTGCAGAGTGACTGAATACGCTCTGTCATGAGCATGGCGGTTTGCGCTGTTAGTATTTTTTCCCCAGCTGTCACAATTTTGAACTTATCTCGTCCAAACATTTCTAGGTGGTTGTGCTCAGTGTTTTGGAAGAGTAAATTTCTTCATTTTCTCTGAGGTTCAAGCACAGTATTTTGCACCAGACTGTCATGAAGACAAAAATTGTCTAGTTCTTAAATGGACCTTTTTTTCATCCTTTGTTTCTGTCGTATACCTGTGTGCACACTGATAGCAGAACCACTCACTGACACAGTGTGAATTACATATGAACCCGAGGGCTTGTGTGGGATGGTTAGAATTCTTTTCAGTCTATTCAGTCACTGTCTCTACGCAAAAATGACCTCAAAAACCTGAACCTGTGTGTAATAATTAATCAATTCCAAAGGTGCACAGGACTCTTTCACCAGGGGACAATGCATTTTGGAGATAACACACATTTCTACATTTCAGTCAAAGTTTATTTTTTCTCCTTTCAGCATATCCTTTAAAGCCTATTCAGTGAGAGAATAATTTAAGACTTGAATACAGGCTCAGTAATGGGTATTTACAAAATTGCCACATCCTTTTGTATATGTAGAGGATGTGAAAAGGGTGTTGCCACTTTGTCTTTGTGTCTGGGGTTTTCCTCTGAGACTGAAGTGTCTATATCCCAGAGGCACACATGCTGTGTCTTTGTCAAGAAAAGCCTGAGTCATTTGGCGGACCAACATCGCCTCCTAGTGGTACATACAGTCCTAACATGTGTGGGGGTTTTTTTTCTGTTTTTGATCAGCCTGATGAGAGTCCCTTCGTCAATGGAAAGATCACACACAAGATCACAGTTGTGCCTTCTGCAAATCTAACTGTCTCTTGTACAGTGACCAATGAGTTTGGCATGGACACCAGAGCTATAAACGTGTCATCCTGTAAGTACAAAGTGGTAATATGGTTCTCTCATCTCTGTCCACTAAAGCCAAACTACGTAATCTGTCTTTGTAAATGTTTTTCCTACTCTGCTCACAACTCTTTCTGTCTGCATGCTGACTTGACATAATGTTGAAATGCTTTAATAAAACTACAATAATTCAGCAGGTATGTACTTGAGGGTAAACCCATCTAATTTAGGATATTTTATCTGTGGACTTTTCACACACCATTCAGGGCTTTCATGACATTTGTGACATTCACTGACATAAACTTTGTATAATCAACCAATTAGTTGACTTTATTTCAGACTTTTAGTCCAAATTATGGAAAGAAAAGTGATATGATGTCAGAAGAAAAACATAATTAGATACATCTAAAAGCAAAGATTAATGCTGCTTCTGCGGTATGAAGAGATTTTGCTTTGTGTACAGTAATATCTGTGGTGGTTTGCCTTTTGATGATCACTGAATGAACATCTGACTTTTTTTATCATCCTCTATGTCACTGTCAAAACGTAACTGATGCATGCACTTAGCACTTTTTGTACACACCGTTGTCCCAAAGCATGCAGTGTTAATACCATCCTCTGCTTTCTTGCTTACTCATTCCTGTGTGTTTGGGACACTCACACACCTCGCTCGGTGTGTGTATGTTGGGATGCTGGGTTTAATCTGTTCCCTCTTTGGACTATTTGCATGCAAAAGTAGAATAGAAGTAGAATAGCAATTTTCCTGGACATCAATCTTGATTTTGTATTTTTTTTTCTTTTGGTTGGACGTTAATTTTATTTTATATCTGATTTCAGTATTTGTGGAGGTGAGAATGGATAAACAAGGTAAGTTGTAGCAGTCTTCTTGCTTGTAAGAAACAGTGGGAGGGGTGGGGTGAGTAAAGACTATGGGGGGATCAAATGTTGCTCACTGAAAGAAGGATCTTTATCAAATATTTACCTTCAACGTCACCTTGGAGTGTGCTACGGGAAATACAATATTTGGACAGTGTTTCTGTAGATAAAATACAGTTATGAAGGAGTAAGAGGAATGGAGCTACCAGCATCCTGACAAATTGTCAACATTGTCCATAATCCCACTGGCTGATGATGAAATGAGTCATAAACTAAGAATTTGTTCCATTAACATTTAACTCAGTGAGTCATAACCATGTACCATGCGGATGTGTCCATTCATCAACGCACTTATTGCACATAATGACTTTTTTCTTCCCTGTATTCACACGCAATCTGGCTGGAGTTTCATACTGAGACGTGTGTCCCAGGTCTGATGTTTCGGTTTTACCTTTGTTACAGACCAGTCTGAGGATAGTGACCAAACCAAGTTGGTGGTTGGAGTTGTGGTCGGTCTCCTCATCGCCACTATGATTATAGGCCTGGCATACTGGGTCTACATGAAGAAGTCCAAGTAAGAAGTCAACAGTGAACCTTTTTAAAAATGTTAATTCTATTATATGATAATGATACTAATCTTCATAAAATTCTTGAATTCACTACTTCACTTTTGCAATGGTCCTGACATGTGGCCCAGTGAGCTAATATCACCTGTTTTGTTTACATTTATCTGGGCCTCCTGTCATTATATTCACAGCCTCTATTTTCTTTATGCAATATGACAATTTTCCACTATTTAAAAAAAACAGTTATATTTTCACTATTCAATAACAGTTATACTGACTCAGTTTATACTATATGTAATTGTTTTTTCAAATACTTTTTTAGATGTACTGAAGAAATCAAGCTTTATTATTTGATTAGTTTAGGTACAGCATGGTTAAAGTATTAAGCGATAAATGTTATTTTGTACACTGTGTGTGCAGCTAAAAACACATGTACACATGAGGAGTATAAATGTATAGTTAAGCACAATTAAGCGCAGAACATGAAGCAGTCTTATATTTTCCAAATTTAGGGAATTAGCTCTTGATCATGAACACATACTGTAACTTGCTAACATTAAGTAAGTGCTTAATGGCAGTACAGGGATATATGCCTCTCCCATTTAATGTAAGTGGACAATGTATTTTAATTATTATTCTACACAGTGTAGTGTAGACAACACACCATCATAAAATATACAGTTGACTGTAAAGGGAAGAATTATCAACATGATTTATTCTAAACAGGCAAGGCAGCTGGAAGACCGGTGAAAAGGAGAACGGGTCTTCTGAGGAGGAGAAAAAACTGGAGGAGAAAGTGGAGGAGAACAGCCAAAAAGCTGAGGTGTAAAGAAACAGCAAACATCCTTTGGGAATGTGAAAGGTAGGCAACAAAATATTTCCATCATGTGCTAAAATAAACATTTACAAAGTCATTCTCTTTCAAATGACATTGTTTAAATTTCTTCTTTTCTTTCCAGTGAGAACATGGAACTTTTGCACATTTCTCTCCACCTCTGTCTTTGGGGAAAAAAAAAAAAAAAAAAAAAGCGTGTACATTGGGATGAAGATGGTTTGGATTTGGTTTCAGGGAGAATTTTACTAAACAGCATATCCAAACACCCCCCGAGCCCCTCGACCTCTCACCCCGCCATTCCTAAAAAAAAAAAAAAAGAAAAAAAAAAAAAAGAAATGAATGGATACTGTATGTGATATACATAACTCTTCTGCACTACTGATACATGTGTAAACTTGTCTACTATTAGGGTTCATGTTAGTTAGAATGCATTTTGGGAAACTGAGAAAATTCAAGTCTTTTTGGTTTTGTTAGTTGACGCAAGTAAAATTACTACTAGACCAGTTTGCCTTCGCTGTTAAGGATGTGTAGGCCTGCATTAGTCTATCTTTGACTCTTTGTCCCTCAGAGACATAGCAGGGGGCCGAGGGACATCATCACCATCACTTCTTAGTTTCACAGTCATCACAGTCAAACAACCTCTGCCTTCAATATGGGTGTGCAAAATCTGTTCATACCTGCATTTGTTTCAGTTTGTTCGTTCAGCCATGAATAAAATATTGAAATCGAGATGAAATTCCTAAAAGGGCTAAGGGTATATTGTAATACTCGGTATTAGTTATAGATGGAAATATGATTACATGTTGCATTGCAGGAAATAGGTGATGTGAGTTCTTTGGTGTTACATGCTTTTCTTGTTCTTTGATCGTGTGTACCTCCTGGAGAGAAGAATTACATTTTTTTGCTCTCTCTCTTTTGTTTAAAAAAAATGTACTGTACATTCAACATAACCACTGTATTTCAAAAGCACGTAGATTATTGAGAGAATGTATGTGCATAATTCAACTCATTTTACTGGCTTTAGTTTGGCTGCACAGATTGTTTTACGTAAACCTGTTTGTTTTCATGCTTTTCCCCAAGAGAATGTGTTTGAGCCTGTAGTAATGAAAGGATACTTTAGTTTACCTGTCAGGGGTTGTAATTGAATTCTCAATTTGTGCTCCATCAGAGTTGAGGTATGCTTGTTTATCATCTAGCCATGGCAGAATTTTGTAATCGAGGACACAGAGTGGACAGGACGTTTGTCTGAAAGTAGTCGTTATGATATGTTTGCCTTCTATTGCAAATCTACCTGTAATTGCTTCAGTTTGTGATGTGCACTAGGGTTCTTTTTTTTTCATGTCAAATTTGTGTAGAATACGACGGAATACACGCAGCTGTACATGTCACAATTTTGGTCTTTTATGAGCATTTCCTGAATCTGAAAATGACCAGGATGTAATTGTGAAATATGTGGTTTTAATTTTCTTTTTGCTATTTATATTGAACAAGAATAAATGTCCTGGTAGGCAAATTCAATAATTGACACAGAATTCACATCTTGGATTTAAACCATAGATAAATTGCTTGCAGACTTTACAAAAAAAGTTCTGAGTCATCAGTGGGTTGTTCAGCGTCTGGTTGAATAGATTCAGCATGTTGTAATCTCAGACCTCCAAGCTGCTGTCTACCTTATGTAAAACCATCAAATTGGAAGAATGACCAAAGAAAGTGAACGTTGCCATGCAAGTATTGTAAATATCTGATGTTTGTTTTTGTACTTTTGTTTAAAATAAAGTGTACATTTGGAAAAGTTACGTCCACTGAATATTAATTATGTTGTTACAGTTTTCACGCCTTTCATCTCAGCATCTTTTTAAATAAAGAGCAACATGGTTCCAATTTTTTTTTTTTTTTTTTCACTTGTAGGCATGCAGAGAACATCTGGAATAATGGTGCAGAATGACTATAATGATTTGTTGTACAGTAATTTTTGCAAAACTATGAATACTTTAGAAAAAAAGACTGAATGCAGCGTTTTGACACTGTGCTATAGCTACTTCTGCTAAAGTAAAGGACAATGGCAAAACAATATCTTTAGAGTCTATTTTGACTCTAATTTGTATTGGTGTCTCTACAGGGGTTTTAACATTATGTCACAGTGCACAACATGATGAAAACACCATTAAATTTACTGACTGGAGTGGAAAAGGTCTGTGAGCACATACATGTACGGAAAAGACAAGAGTGTTGAATTTCACTGGTTCTGCATTTTGAGCCATAAAGGCCTACAAGGACATGGCCCATGCCATTAAGTTAAAGATATCCTGAATATTTAAAAACAACAAACTATTTTCTACATCAACTGGAAGCATAAATTTACTTTTGCACACAATCTAATCACAGGCAATGCAAGGTCATTTACAGGTCACTAGTGTGCTCAGTCCCTTGACCCTGTGGCTAATCATATGCACTGGCACAGTGCATGTGATAAGTCATTATCTTTAACCAGCTTCCAATTAGCCAGTTGTTACATGTGTCACTGTGGCCAATCAAGTGTACAAAAAGAAATGTAGGCGTCGGCATATAAAATGTGGACCAACCAAAATGAGCTTCTGCTGCCATCCTGTGGCCAAAGAGTATACTGTGACAAACAGTGATGGAATTAGGGAAAAATCTATTAGATGTTTTTACTTTTTATTCTGAGCACATAGACTCCACTGAAGGTGGAACACATAAGCTACACAATGGAAGTTATATTAAAACTTGGAGGATATGAGGATACATCACAACTAAACTTTAGGACTCATGTGGGGCTTGTCACCAAATCTGCTTTTTTATCATCTCAAAACTACAGCTAAAGTGTGGCTATTCCTCTCTCTCAATGACACAAAGAGTCTAATGAACACTTTTATATCCAGCAGATTAGATTATCTCAATGATCTCTGGTGTACTCAAAAAACATGATAAGAATTGATTCATCAATCTGCTACTGACTGGGACTGGAAGGAGTGAACATTTAACACAGTCCTTACATGCACAAGTGTTTTAGTTGTTCCAAAGCGCAGGACAAAAACCTTTGGTGAGGCTGCTTTTATGTTTTATGCTATGTGTTGATATCTTGAAACGTAAACTTAAAACCTGCATATTGAACCCACCTTGGGTTAGAATGTTTAAAGGCTGTTATTTACTTTATTTAATCATTGATTTTATTGTCTTGATGTTTTAAAATGTTTTACTCTCTTTTATCTATTTTATATCTATTTTATTGTTTTATGAATCTATTTTTATCTACTCTATTGAGTTTATTATTAAATTTTCAACATTTTTATTTCTTATGCGCATAAGTCTCAGAATATTTTACTGTTTGTTTCTGTCATTATCAGCTTGTGATCCATCTGTAAAGCACTGAATTGCACTAACTTGTAGGAAAGGTGCTATGTAAATAAAGTTTAATTGCCTGAATGATATAATGAAGTGGAGCCAGGTGACTTGTTAACACAATGGAAATTGTATTTATTGTGTATGTGTATGTATTGTGTTTATCAGTAGCATCTCCCTTTATGATGGGAAAAAAAGGTTCTGAGGCATGCAAATGACTGGAAAAGTCACTGCAACAAATTCACATTTATGTTGAGGATGATGGATGTTCATAGAGTACAGCCAAATGTATGAAGTGTTTGATTGATTTGGATTACCTGAACAACTTGTGAGCAACAATGGCTGTGAACAACACTCTGTGGATGCACCGATCATATAGTTAGCCAACATACACATTGATACTGATCCAGTCTCAGTATTGGATTGCGCATCACTAATAAAATGGCAGCCATGCACCATCTTAACAATGAGCCAAAATAGCTAATTTTACTTTAGGAAACCTCTTAGAGACCTAAAGTAATAAATACAGCAACATACATTATCTGATTACAAATAAATCAGGATGGACAGCTCGGCATTAATATCACATCTTTAGGAGTAAAACCAGCAGTTTGGCAGGTTAATTTCTGAATACAGTCTTTATATTTTATTAAAGTGTATAAAACAGTTATGTCCATTCCTTTCTCTATCAGTGTTGAAATTCAGCAGACAGTCTTATGTGACTGTGGCAGGGACAGAAAGTCTTCATGTTGTCCACAGCACTTTGGATACAGAATTAGGCATCAAAGTATAGTAGATAGTTTGCAACTGATAGAGGTAGCATTAACATGCAATAGGCAAATACATTTTCAATGATTTTTCCAAAACACAGTTGCAGTGATGTTTTGTAAATGTCCAGCCACTCAATTGCTTGAATGATAAATGATAAATTGATGATAATTGATGATAAATGTCATCAGTTGACAGTTTCACTCTCCAGATCACAGAAGTCATGCTTGTATATTACCTGAACCTTGTGTGACTGGAGGCTTTGGGAAAATAATGAAAGGTAAGTATAGTTCTGTATAAGTCATGTACATGAAGTGTAGATTACCTGCACGTCCCTGCTATAAATGCCATGTGGTAGCCCACATCTGGCCTCTCAGAATCTTCTAGCCCTGAAAAGTTTCCGAGTGACCAGCATGAGTCATTCAGGAATTAACAGAACTATAGTTGCCTTTGCAGCTTCCATTCTTTTCATTCCTTCCTGACTGAACAAAGTGGATGACTCTTTCCTGTAGTGTCACAAGGAACCAATAGCCACCGACTGGTCAACCTGTAGAAGCCAATGGCAGAATGGTTGACGCTAGCGTGGATCCAGAGGCCACATTAAGGTGGTAGAACCTCAAAAATGTGCAAAGCGCTGTCCAGAACGCTGCTGCACAGATTTCCTGTTGTGACATCCCTCTCATTACCGCCCAGGACGTGGCCACACCCCTTGTCAAGGGACAGAAAACATCTGAGGGGACAGGTTTACTTGCTACCTCATTAGCCTATTTGATTGTCTCAACAATCCAATGGGAAAGCCTCTGTTTAGACAGTGCCTGTCCCTTGGTCTTTCCACTGTAGCACACAAACAGTTGCTCCGAGCACCTAAAGCTCTGTTTTACTTCAATGTATAGTCGCAATGCCCGGACTGGACACATCAAACTTCCTCTCTCCTCCAGCTTTGATCTAAAAGGTGTGGTATGCTTCCAATTCTATGGCTTTATTAATATGGCTGGGGGAGACAAAGAGATATTGACCACAGTGACACCCCCCAACCGTCTGCCTTC